TTAAAAAATTTGCAGAAAAAAATCAGGTTTACAAAATAACCAAACTTTTCAGTGATAAATCAAAATACATAAATTCAAGTTTTAAATGCTAAATGTTCCAGAAATACAATATTAATACAGAATTAGAAAATTTAAATATGTTAAATGATTCAAAAATATATATAATTAGTCAGTTTTAAAAAATACAGCATAGAAATAAATGTTGTGAGTTTTACCTGGACTTAAAAGTGTGTTTTAATAATGAAACAATATTGAAATGAATGTTTGTGAACATATTTATATATTTTATGTAAACTTTTTGCTAAATTTCTTTATTAATGCAAATGTAAGCATTCGAAAATCTTAATGCAATACTAAACAAAACTAGTGTAAGCCTTGTACGGCGTTTGCTTTGCCATTGCTTGCATAAAATTATTGCTAAATTTGTGTTATATAACTTTTTTGGAGTAAATAAGTTGCAAAATTCTGAACTGTGTGCAATATTTGAGAATAAATATTTTGTTTTTGCTTTTGGTTTTCAATTTCGTGTATATATGTACATAATAATGACTTAATGGTAACAGTATTACAAGTCAAAAGGTATTTGAGTATTTCAAGTATTCGCTCATCAGCGTATTTTAGCTACATATTAAGTTATGTAAGTGCATTTAAAACTCGTGTCGTTGCGTTACATTAAAAATCTCATGAAACTAGCGTAAAACTACGGATACACATCTATTTAACAGAAAACAAATATTATTGCTTTAAAACTTATTTTTAAAAAGTAAATAAAATTGGCTGTAAATAAATACATATGTATGTATGTATGTATGTATACATTTGTATGTTTTAAAATGGATTTAACTATGGCTTTACGCAAACCGCTATTAGGAGACTTTTACCTTCACTCAGTGTATATGTAAGTATATATATGTATATATATGTGTGTGTGTATCTATGAGTACTTTTCGTAAAGTAGTGAAAACTAAATCGTTAAATATGCGTATGAGTTGACAATGGAAGCGCGCTTCGAGGTTTCTCATGTGTCTTTCACAATTCACAATTCACAATTAAATCAAATTAAAATTGATTTATACACGACTGTTAACGGTCGCTATTCAAGTCACAACGAGTGTTGCACGCACACTTTTTCACTTTTCATGTGCATGCAAGTGTGTGTGTGCTTCAGTTTGTGTTTAATCATACTTTGCGCATGCGCGCTTAAAGAGTTCCTCGATTTTCTCCTTCGGTCCCTGCACGATGAGCATAAATTGCGATGGAAAGTCCCAAATAATGGTGAAGTGGAATAGCATATTCGCAATGGCGATCACATACTCGAAGAAGGCGAACCAACTGAAGGCTGTGTAGTTGATGGAAAATATGTTTCATTAATTTTTATATGAATTCAAAACGATTTGTGGTGAACTCACCCAAATCATGACAGTAGAAACGATGCTTGGCGAAGAATACCAACAAGCCGACGGTGCTCACAATGGAGGTGATGAAGAGTATTCTCTTCCATTTGATGGATTCGCGTTGTATGGGCAAGAGTTTGCTTTCATCCTCGAAAAGCATGCCGTGCAGTTTGATCGTGGCCAACATGTAACAGAGTGAGCAAACCATAAATGTGATAAAGATTTTCTCATGAATCGCTGCGGAAGAGAGGGAAGATATGGTTAAAAAGCAGGTTTAGCAAGGAATATGTGCACACATATGGGAATAAACTCTTTTTATGAATGCTTTTATGTACACAAATGCATTAAGTTAGGTTAGTTCAAAATCCTCGAAGGATGCTAAGCTCATCTGGGTACGCAAAGAAACGCCTGATGAAAGGTTGGAAGGAAATAGTGCCTATATAATTTTCTGTTCATCGACAATGAAGCAGTAGCTGGATGGAGTAAGGATAAGCGTTCGAAGAATTCCTATCAAAGCAGAAAACTTATGGAAGCGTTCTCGTTTCGGTTGTCCAATTGTGAGACCTATGATCTCAGTTGCAAGAATAATCCCGTGAACCTACCTACCTAGAACCTAATACCTATCCTTAGAAATTAGTTACCGCTAAGATCAATGAAAGTTCCTCTTGTACCCACAATAGTCGGATTTAAATACGTTCTCTAGAATCTGGTATCTTAATAGCACTCCCCAATCTACTTACGAACCCTGAGATCTGAACTTGACTTATATATAAGAATAGACAACTTTGRTTAATTGATTGAAAGGAAGATGCTGGAGCGCCATACCGCAGGTGTCCGCATTTAAGCCATAATTAGGCCACTAATGGGCTCATCCAGCTGCTCAATGTTTCTTAAGTTGGAGAATTGGGGACCGTTTGATCTACATTCCGCCGAATCCACCTTACCAACCGAAGGTTTTGAGGTGGAATCATAGGGCTATATGATATGTGATGATTCCTCTAATGTTACTAAGTTCACTCTTTCCTAAAGGTATACGCTTTTTGGTCTGTTCATCAACAAAACTATCCCAAGCGCTTTTATGGTATTCCCTGTACGTATTCCAAGATTCGAGGTGCTCCTCTAGGGTCCATTGTTTCAACCAACCCTTRAAAGAAGTGAATGGTTTAGGACAGCTTAGGAAAATTTTATCTTCCGTATAACCAAGTGAGCAACAGCGCGCCAGTCATTTCTTCTTTACACAATTTGGCACCAATTCGAGATACCAAATGCAGTCAGGTCCTTCTCCACCTGATCTGTCTAACAGAATGAAAGTCTTCCTCTTCCTCTGCAGATACTGATTGGAATACTTTCAGAGCTGGAGTGTTTTCATCCATTCGGACAACAAGACCTAAAACGCGTAGCAACTGTTAATGTAATTCGCTGAGCTATGTCAACGTCGTCGTATAACTCGTACAGCAAACTCGTAACGTCGACTCATTCTTCATGGATCTCCTTTACTCGGCCACATTGTCATTTTATGTCGAGTTCAATAACAAGTTCTGGAATAATATCACACCCAAAGCGACACCGAGTCTGGTTCCATTAACTGAAATTTATCAGTAAGCTGGTCGTGAACTTTAACTTCTTTATCTTGAATGGCGTACACACCGCTTACGCGATTACTTTTCTTTGAGAGTTTTTTACGTTGCGGTTCCCAAACCCAGTGCTCAACACTGGAGAGGAATGGTTCGCCTTCTCACTTTAGCTCGCTTTAAACGGCTGTTAGAAGAATTAATTTCTGGCCACTCCCAAATGAATGTCGATCAGAGAACTTTCCTCACTTGCCTGAACTTCTACACATTAATCTCTCCTCCTAAAATCAAAGCTGGTCGTAAACATTGGGTCGTATTGGGCGGATGATACTTGTTTATAGCCAATAGACCAAGCGGGATCGTAAACTATTTGTTTAAGATTCGAAAGTTTCACTTGTAATATTTTCCCCCCTGCTTATGTGTTTATCTAGGATAATCCTGAGATGTTTGACAGAGCTCAAGAGTGCAATTTTATCCCTTGAAGATGAAGAGTAATTACTTTAATCATGTCTATTGGTATTACTTACGATAATTCTCCCTATTCGAAATGTAGGTCACACCGCCCAACGACGAAATTTCGATTAGATTCAAAATTAATATTAAGGTTATCATCAGATCGGCCTTCGGCACCAGATGCGGCCGACGTTGCTGCAAATTTGCCAACATGCTGCGATAAAAGTTCTTATACACGAAGGCGATGGGCAAGCGCGGTCCAATGTGTAAGGCAATACTCAGGCGCCAGAAGTAGCGTTGTGGACTGACACCGGTAATGGCACTTATCGATGGTACAATGTTGTAGACCTGCAATCCAACACAATTGAAAAGTCATTAAGTCTGCCGAATGAGTGGGCGGTCAGCAATACTTACACGGCAATGCGTTTCGTGCACATCATCATATTGGAAGACGTACGCGGTAACGAAGCAGGTGAACAGCGTCACCAGTGGAAGCAGTGCAGTCACCACACAAATCTGATGGAAGCTAGCCAAATAATGTACGGTCAATGGCAACGCTGCCGACGCAGCAGCCGTTGACGTCGTCGACAGCGAAGACATATCTGTGACTGTTGCCGTGGCCGAGTCACCATTAGCGCCGACCGTTGATGTCGATGTTGTTGTTGTTAAATACTGTGTAGGCAGCGGCAGGAAACATGAAAAGAGAAAGGCAAAAACATAACAAAAAATTTTAGTGGCAGAAGAGCATATTAAATGGCGAGCGATAAAAGCGAAAGTGTGCTGTCTGCTCTGTCACTCATACGCCATGGCTGCTCGCACCTTGTACACACTGTGGCTTTAGTAAAACGCAAGCATGGCAAACACGCAAACAAAAATTCAAAAAAAAAAAATGTTAAAAAAGACATGAAAATCAATAGCGGGTAATAAATTACTTAAAAGCATCTCATGACAACTCATCAGCGCTGATAATAAATACGTGACAGCGCTCGTTTGTGTCTCACCATAAGGACTCAACTACAGTTATGCATATGTTTGAGTATGTGTGTGTTCAGGTATTTGCGCCAATTGCGAGCCGTTTGCAAAAACAATGTGTGACAAATTGTGTTTAGTTTTAAAAGCAAGCATGCTAATTCGAGGTGTTATAAGGCTATGAGAGTGACCTTACATGTTATTAGGTTATGAAAAATTCTTAATTTTTGTAGCAAAAGGATTTGTGCTTATTTTGGCATTTGGCGGCATAAATTAAATTACTAAATTTAAATTAATATAAAAAAAAATTATAAAATTTAAAATTAAATAAAATTTTCAATTTCATTTCTACGTACAGGATTGCAAATAATGCACTCAAATCTATAATTAAATTATTTTTTTTATTTTTTAAACCCTAAAATTTTAAAAATATATTTCAAATTTCTTATACCAATTACCGGATGAAAAAATTAAAAACAAAAATTTATCTCAAAAATTGGTTTTAAACAAAAAATAAAATTTTAAACCCAAATACAGGATTAAAAAAAAAAGTTAACTCCAACTTTATAAATTTTAATGTAGAAAAAACTGTTTTTGAATTTTAAATGACAAGTCCTTGCATACTTTGTATTTTACCATTTTGTTTATTTTTTTGATAAGAAAAGCTAAATTTTAATAAAGTACCAAGACATTTTTGCATTTTTTTCTTATTTAAATCATATTACTCTTAATTATAGCTTTGAAGTTAGAAAGTTTTTGATATAAAAAATAATGTTATTATTTTAATAAAGAAAATGTATTTTATAAAATGTTACATCCGATTTGTGGTTCAAATTTTAAATTTACAATTTTTGTAATTCGCATTTTTTAATTAAAAAAAATATTTTATAAATTTTTATATCCGGGGTTGGGTTTAAAATTTAAATTTCCAATTTTATTTATTCCGATTTTATATTTAAAAAATATTTTGTAAATTTTTACAACCGATTTTGGGCTTAAAATTTAAATATAATTTTGCGAATTTTTTAATTAAAAAAACATATTTTTTTTTTTAATTTTGACATCCGATTTTGGGTTTATAATTTAAATTTTTAATTCTTTAAATCGGATTTTGGGCATCAAAATGTTATTTTAAATAAATATTCATGCTTTAACAAATATCAAAAATAACATAACATATTGGGGAATGAATTATATAAATTTTCACCGATTTTAAGGTTATAAATAAACAGTTGTTAAAAAATTTTTCGCAAAAAAATTTAATCCCAAATACGGAAACACAAATTTATTTTTAATTTTTAAACTGAAATCTAACTTTAAACTTAAATTTTTGAATTAGAAAACTCGTAACCCTAGTTATGACTATATACTACATAGAGCGGGTTGATTTGAAAAACAAGAACAGTGAAAATAAAGAAAATCGGACAACTTTAGCATATATCTTCCATACAATATTTCAATCCTTATTTCTAGTTAAATAACTAAACTAAAATTTAACTAAAATTAATGAAGAATATCTGGCACTTAATTTTTGCCGACTCTGATATCTAACCAATAACCCTCGTAAGCATGCAGGCATACATTTGCACTTTTCCATGCATCGCATTTTCTTCAATGACAATTTGTTGTTGATCTAATAATAGTTATGTGTCTCGTTTATACGAAAAAAATAAAAGAACATGAATTTAAAGAGCAAATATGGCGTGACCAAATGGAAAATAATAAATCAAATGGCAAATAATTGAAGAAAGAAGCGCACAGGCGGTTAAGAAATAGGTTGGAACCATTTTTATCAAGAAAAATCACTTGAAGTAATTGCTAAAATAGAATTAAGTTTGATTGGCATTAAAGTAAATGACTGTAATTAGCTAGATGAGCTGGTGGACGGCACACGCACACGTTCGTAGACATATTTACAAGAACGGGATAATTATATTTTCTTCTTTGCAACAATATGGTAACCTTAACTGCAATAATTTACGGTGGAAAATTATAAAACATGAAACTGAGCGCGATAGAAAAATCTACAGTTATTTATTTTAACTCGAATTTCGCTCTAAGCGAACTGATTCCGTATTTTAAAGTATATAATATACTTCACAGGCGCCTTTCTTATGGCTTAAAAAGGTATAAACATATATTTATCTTGATTTTGGCCTCACTTTGCATGACAGCTATATGTTATAGTGAATGCTAAAACATTTATAATATTAGGAAACGTCCAACTCAGTTTCGATACCAAACAAAGTCGGCTGGGAATAAAAAAACTAAAGAGTTTAGCTTTTTTCAACTATTGCGTAAAATAAAAATGATGTAATGAAAGCAATTTACAAAATACTCATTATAATATTTAAATAAAGTAGTTGTCTTTCAAGTAAAGCCATCTATACAATTCATAAATGGACAATCTACACTCATAATCCTTCTCATACACAACACTTACCAATTGCTCACTATTAACTTGTTCGTTCGCCTGCTGATCCAGCGGTAAGGCTGTCGTTTGCTTTGTGTTACGCAAGATTGCGCCACTGCTAGCGTCAATAACATCTGAGCTGTCACTTGGCTGCTGCATGTCCTTTGCTGGATCCACAGGAGCGCGCACAGCTTCCGCCATCGCAAAAAATATCTCGATTTCTTCAAAAAAGAAAACCAATTCCGCGCAACAGCTTTAAGTGGAGAAGATATAGATGAAGACTGCACAACTGCGCTCTCTCCGAATACCCAAATGGTGTAAATAGAGGGTAAAGCTTTCGTTAATCTGTCACTTAAAGTTGATCTAATTAGCTTTATGCTAAAATTTCACTTTGTCCTGCACTTTCCACATGTTTTGCATTTTATTTACAATTTACGTGAATAAATTCAATAAATATCGATTTTTTCGCAAGCACGTTCGCCAAAGACAGCCTGTCGTTTGTGGCTTCTTCAACTGTGTGCGTGGGTGGTGCAAAAATGCGAAGACACATTCATATACTATATCGATGTTAAATGGTGTTTTGAACTGTAACTTTCTTAACTTAGACTTTTCACACTTGAAAATACGAAAATATTTAATTTCTAATACGTTTGCTGTTTTATTAAATGTTCTATATTGTTTCGTTTGCGATTTTTCCAACAACCAATCACTTTCCGCATCAGTCTTACACAATACGCGGATGCAGCGTTGCTTTCAGGATATTCTGCTGTTATGTCACTATGGATTTTCCTTTCGCCTTTATTCGCCACATTTGACATATTAACGTTTGTTGCTGCAGTATTTGTAATGCCGATCAGACATTGTAAATATTTCCAAAAATAAAGTGCCACACGCAATAAAGCAATTACACAGTGTAAATATATAGTTGTGGTTGTGTGTGCGTTAAGTGCTAATTGCTCAAATAATTATAGTCTATTTGGAGAAAGTTCTCACGTAACTGACTACTGTTATATGAAACAATTAATTTTTGTTTGAACACACTCGTCTGTATTATATTTGAAAAAAAAAAAACTTTATACTACTGGAAAATAAACGAACAATAAACAAATCTAAAATACCGTTACAAGCAATAGTCCGATAACAAAAATACGAGTTCTCATTTTATATTTCACCCTGTGCGTATGTTGTCCAATTACAACACTGACCAATTACATCAGCTGTTAACAGTTGTCAATTGAAAAGCAGCAGCTCTGTAACATTTCTTTTGGGTTATGTGCTAAATCATTTTATTTCTGCATGAAAATAAACATTTAATATACAAATAATAAATAAGTGAATCCAAATAATGGCATCTTTAGTGAAGCAATTCGCCCGTCTCAACATTACACAAAGAAGTCTGTTACAGAACTCCTGTAAACTGCTACTGCCGGCTAGCCATAGTTTACATACGACGGATGCACTATGCTCCAAATGGAATAAAGCTAATCATGGCCCACGCAAATGGTTGGTGAGCAATAAAACGGTACATCCACCACAAAAGCCTGATGAGGAACCAAGAAAAGCGGTAAACTACAAAATAAATATGTAATAACATAACGTTATAATAATAGTGATATAAACATTATATTTAGTATGTCTGCCATATGCGCACCAACATTAAATATAGTCCAGATAAAATGTGGTATATCGCTTCATTTGTACGTGGCATGTCCGTCGATGAGGCTGTAAAGCAATTGAGTTTTGTGCTTAAGAAGGGCGCCACACATGTCAAAGAGGTGCTACTTGAAGCACAAGAAATGGCTGTCAAGCAACATAACGTGGAATATAAGAGTAATTTATGGATTGGTAAGCTACATATAATCTAATAGTTGGTGACGTAAAATTTATTGAATCAATATCCATGTTACAGCTGAGTCGTTCGTGGGTAAGGGACGTGTTTTTCGCGGCTTGCGTCGACACGCACGCGGACGTCAGGGCATAGTTGAATACAAACACTGTCATTATTTCGTAAGACTAGAAGAAGGAGAACCACCAAAGGATTACTACCTACCTGCACAACAAACGCCAGAACAACAGTTAGAGAAATGGATTGAACAAATGCGTAGCCGTAAAGTTATCAATTCGCTATAAGTCATTTTGTTTCAATAATTGTTTAAAACATGCAATAAACGGAGTTGTTTAAACATAATTTTTATTTAATAAAAAAAATTAATTATAATATTTTACTGGTATCAGATATCAGCCAAAACAGCGGTCATTAAGTTTTCCAATCCATCATCCTTATTCACTTGCGTTAATTGCGAAAGTGGTAAATTATCTTCACTTTCGTCGCTTTCACTTTGGTCCTTTGCCAATACATCAGCTGCTATATCTAAAGCAATATCTTCACGTTCCTTAAGCAATACGTCGAAACTTTTATCGACGGCTATACCGCTGAATTTTGATAGATTCGACATAATAGACTGGCCAGCATCCTTGCGCTTTTTACGTGTCCCCTTGATATTAGGCTTTTTATTTTGTTTTGAAACTACACTTTTCCTTTCTGTCGAAGCAGAATGATCGCGCTCTAAATGTTTTGCTAAATTTTGTCCACTACTAAAAACACGTTCACAACCTGGATGTACACATTCAAAACGTTTTCCTCCATGTGCGATGCGTATATGTTGCTTCAGATTCCGTTCATAGGCGTAACTACGTTCACAACTGTGACATTTAAAATTCATTTTCTTCTCTTCGTCCATATGCTTAGCTGCTATATGTTTTTGCAATTCACTAGGTTTTCCATACACACGTTCACAGTGTTCGCACTGGTAATACTTTCGTCCATGCTGCTTCTCTTTGCAATGTTTAAGATATTTCGTCCATTTGTCAAACTTCAAGTTACAATTGGCGCAAATGTATACTTTGCAGCTCGGAATGTGTCGTTCATGCTCCCATTGTTGATAAAATCCCCTTGAGCACTTTTCACAACTACGGAAAATAGGAAATAATAAATTTTATAGTCTTTTTTTTTAAACAAATAACATTAACTTACACATAAGGGTATTCACCAGTGTGCGTTTGAATTTCGTGCCTGCGTAACTTCAGTTTTTGCGTGAACTTTTCTGAACAAAACGAGCAAGGGTAGATTTTGGGATTTTCATGAACCTCGCGAATATGCCGATACATATTAGCCTCCGACTGGAACATTTTTAAACAGCCGGGAATCTGGCAGGGTACGTTTTTCACTGGCGGCCCCACTCGTTCATGTGTAGTACGCAAATGGCGTTTCAAGTGCGTCAAAATGGAATATACTTTATCGCAGCCGTCATATATGCAATAATGCTTTTTCTGAAACACAATGCCATTATTTAATATTCCAACCTACTTTTATGCAGACTCACAATTCCTGTATGGTGATACTCATGCCGATCGAGATGGTCCAGACGCTTGAAACTTTTTCCGCAACCTTCTATGCTGCATACATATTTGGGACCAGTGCTATTACGACGTGACTTCGGCACATCTTGAAAAGAAATTACACTTTCCAAATCACTATCTGAATTAGCTTTATTTCCTGGAGTCATTTTGGCAAATTTTCCCAAATCGTTGATGTACTTATTTTGTCTTCGTATTTGTATTTCACGTGTTTTGTTACGAATGTCAAATACAAAGGACTGCATAAGTGTTGCTAAAGCACAATAAACTTTGAGTTAACAAAAAAATTAACGTGTACGCAAACTTAATAAAAATTTCATCATGTAGATGCTAGATTTTATGTATATAAATTTATACAGCTTATTATATTTAACTGTAAGTATAGCTTTATTACGTTAGAACCATAAAAAAGTATCGTACAATATTTTTTTATGGTACTAAATAATTGAGTATTCCAATTGGTCAATGCAACTCTGATGCTTTGACAAAATACCAATCAACGAAAGCCGAAGAAAAAGGGGGAGTTTATTAAAGAAGAGAAATTCAGAAAAATTAGTTGTAAAGTTATTTAGACAAGATTCAAGTGATATTTAAATAAAAATGGAATATGAAAGTGTTTTGATTGTGAAGCCAGAAGTATTTATTTACAAAATCCCACCACGCGCCAGCAACAGAGGTTACAGGTAAACTATAAGCGCAGCGGTGCTCCAGTGGAAAATCTGTCTTCGTGGAAAATTTGCTAGTTTCCTATTTTTCTTACCCACTATTGTTTTTTTGTTTTTCATTGCCACTGCCAAGCAACGTTGATGACAAAGAATCTAAAGTTGATACAAAAAAAAGCATAGAAATTGCTACTTTCTTATATGGACCACGTCAACGAGATGAACAAAGCAATTATAAAATTATGTTATCTCAGGATACTTAGTTATTCCATTGCTGCAACTTGCTATTGATTGTCCTTAAATACAGCAGCTTTGTCACAATCACAAGGTTAAACTAGTTAACGCTTCAAGTTCAAATCCCATTGATTTTTTCTGCGGCAAATCTCTTATTGGTTAAGATGTTATCAATTCTTATTAGAAAATTGAAGGCCAATTTTACGGAGGCTATAGAATCGTAAAACTTTTATCTAATAAAATGCTTGAAATCGTGGTTTTCTGATATTTAAAAAATCGTATCATTCTTTTCAAATGTTTTTTTTTTTACCCGATAGAGCTGCGGATTGGAATCTGGGCGAACCGACATGGACCGGTCGTATGCGTTTGGTGGCAAAAGGTACAGCATGTAATTTAAAGTTGGAAGATAAAAATACCGGCGCGCTTTTTGCCAATTGCCCAATTGATACATATCCTGGTGTTGCTATAGAAGCGGTTTCGGATAGTTCACGTTACTTCGTAATACGCGTACAAGATGATAACGGTATAAGAAAAACTTTCAACAATTTATTAAGTTATTTCATATATCTGTAATAATTTACAATGTTTCTTAGGTCGTTCTGCCTTTTTGGGCCTGGGTTTTGGAGATCGTTCGGACTCTTTTGACCTGAATGTAGCATTGCAAGATCACTTCAAATGGGTGAAAAATCAAGAGCAAATTGAGAAGGAGAAAACAGAGCCTAAGCAGCAACTTGATTTGGGATTCAAGGAAGGCGAAACCATTAAAATTAACATGCGAATAACAGTGAGTTTTAAGAAAAATTAAATTGGTTTACACAATTTTAAATGTCATTATATAGAAAAAAGATGGATCTGAAGGCACTGGTCGCGCTGGCAAAGCCAAGCCGTCTTCTGGTATTTTGCCACCACCACCGGGGGGTATTGGTAAGATTGCACCACCGCCTTCAGGAGCAAGTGGTTCTGTACGACAGAGTCCGGGTACATCGCCTGCCCATAAAACACCAGGTGGTTCAGGCAGCGAATGGACGGATTACGCCTCAGCAGGGTAATTACGAGCTACGCTTCAAATAGTTTTGCAAAAATTAATTACTATTTCTTCTTCATAGTGGGCAAACCCAACCACAACAACAACAACAAAATGCTGCTAACGCAAACTGGGTGCAATTCTAAGTAGGTTTAAACAAACATTTACATACACACACACAAATTCATGTAGAGCTACATAAATAGAAATGTGTACGTCAAAAAAGCAAAAGAAAAAAATACTAACACCAGAAGAGTAGTACGTTAAGCGTTTAAGTGAATTAAACAAAGAGCTTTCGTTCAAAATCGTATAAAATATAATTTGTTGCATACAAGTTAGTTAACGCGAGTGTAAGTTTATGTAATCTTAAACATTCGATATCGACAATTTAACGAAATTTATGAAATTAGCAAAAAGTTAAACTGTAATCAAGCCAGTTCATGGTATAGCGAAATATAAAAGAAAACAAAACATGGCAAATGTGTATGTATAACTTGTTGATGTAATGTAAAAATAATTATTAAAAAGTTCAGTTCATTTTTTAGTAAAATTGTATCTTAACTATACAAAAAAAATAACATAATTCAGTCGTACAGTTACGAATTTGGATATGCTACAATAATAACAATAAGCTGTATTATAAATATGTGAAAACAATGCAAATAAGTCATACTAACAATTTTTTTTAAATCACATGTCGTTTGGCATACATACTTTGTGTTTAGTTTAAATTTTCTCGGTTTCATCGATAAGTTAATTTGTCTAGTAAGTGCACAGTGCTAATATTATGAAATGTACTTACACAATTTGCGTCAATTTTGTTCGCGATTGATTTTAATTTACGCAATTATTTACGTTTGCATACACACATTCCATTTTGCATTATTGTTGGTTAAAACAGAATTTGAAGCACGTATCATCTTGTGAAACATTTTATTCATATAGTATTTTCAATAGTATATGATTTTTATGTTCTCTAATTAATTAAATTTGTATTAAAATTTTACTAAAATTTTTTTATGTGTGTTATACATATACAAATTTTTTTCTTTGCTTTGCGTTTGATAGTTAGAATTTTGAGTCGAATACGCATTATTAGAATTGTAATCCAATGAATGTTGTATGAAATGTAAAATATAATGCATACATTAAAAATATGATAAAGCATAGCATAAAATATATTGTATTTATATCAGTTATATACATATAGATTGTTCAGCGCTTTTGCTATTTATTAGTGCAAATTGAATCTATTGAATTAACTATTTTGTTGCATATGAAAATAAAACCCATTTATCGATAATAGCCAACAGTGTTTGTAAACTTAATTAACAATTTCAAACTACTTACTGTATCCTTTTGCTCTAATGAAGTTTACGAGTGTGTAAAGTAAACTTATATAATAAGTTATGTATGTATTTAAAATTTATTATTGATGAATATTGAAATCGAAATTGAGTAAAAGCTATTTTTATTTAAAATATATAATAAATAAACTTGATACGGAAGCGGAAAGCTTTCCGTATAACGCACGAACTAATTTCATTTCATCATTTTTTTTTGTGCAATAATGTAAGTAATATTTAACTTTGCTTACATCGAAGATATCTCGTCAAATAAAAAAGTTTTCTCTACAAGGAAATGGTTTTTATCGTATAGTTATATAGCAGCTATATGCTATAGTAATCCGATATCAGTGGTTCCGATAAATGAGCAGCTTCTAGGATCTAGATAGCGTGTGTACAGGCGGACGCCAAGCCAAAGGGCTGATCGCTCATATATTTATTTTTTAGACATTTCCTTCTGACTTTTACAAACTTAATATACTCTGTGCTGGGTATAAATATTTCA